CGGGACGAATCCCGATGGGCCGGTACCGAAGTGGGCCGGTCGGATAAGTCACTAGCACATCCCCCACTCCCCACGTTGACAATTTACTAGCGGTACCGAAGCGGGCCGGTCGATAGTCCCGGGATGATTTTTAGTCCCAGTCCACCACTGGCTACATGACCGTATGATCGCCCATATTGACGCACCTAATTCCTAAACTTCTAACAGATACAACATAAACCGATCCTTCAGCCTCATATGAGCTCTCAGACACGTTCAAAATTAAACTGTCATCGCTGTCTGAGCTTGCTGCTGTGTGCGCCATCGTACGTTTACATGCAGATGCTGGGATCCTGAACGGTGCAGCTGGAGCGCTGTGCCCGCATTGACGTCACACATAATTTGGCGGGACTTGAAGAATCCCCGCGAAGGTCCAGAAAATGGTCAACATTGAAGGGCAGATTAATGGTTATCAAAGTACAAATATCCAAAATCAGTTCAGTAACGGTTTTCAAGGGGACAATATTTACTCAAATTGATGGGTTTGGATGATGGGGGAAACTCGGGTCACAGGCTCTTTAATGTTGCTCTCAAAGTGCACCAAATTGATGCTTTTAACTTCAATATTTAAAACAAATCTTCCCGGGGGAGCAGGCCCCCTAACCCCCCTAGAGGAGGTTAGGTCCACCCTCCACTTAAAAGAAATAGCACTTGCTTACTACCCCTGCTTACATATATGCCGTGAGCTGATTATCGAGCCTTCATTGGCAACAGTCGCGGGTACACTGTGTATGAGCTGTGGGGAGTGTTGCAATAGAACATTCCACTGTAGCGCCGGTACCGTAATGGGAAACCCTACATGCAGCCTCTATGAAACGTCAAGCTACCCCACAGCACCCCCAAAAGAAAATCTCTGGCGCCGATACTGGCCGCGGCACATGGCGGTTTTGTGTGCCCTCCCATGAAAATCATATGCCCTCTCTGTAGATTTGTTCTGGCGCCGGGTCTGCACCAAAGATGAACACTTCTATACAGAGAGATATCAGAATGTAAATGCGATGAATGGCTGTGGCGGAAAAATTCTATAAATCGTATAAAAACAGGATTTGATTTGATTTAAATGGACTGGATTAAAGCTTTGAAAAAATGTTGTGTGTGCTCTTGGTGCCAGCTTGTCTGTTTTTATACTCCCTCTGTCTATCTTTCAATCTGGTGTCTCACTGTTTTCAATCAATGCTTGTTCACCTTCCTGCTGGTGTTGCTATGTGTTTTCTAGTAATATATTTCATAGACATCTTATCACGCTTTTGGCGAATGTGTCTATTGATTATACAATGAAGGGAGGATCACACAGCCTGATCTTTTTTCATTTGACTCCACTCCATTGAACTACACTTTCATGGTGGGAGGACGATAGGTTCATTATGTTTTGTATAGGCGCTCATTTTTCATTTCCTGTCATTACTGTGAGAACATGGAATGAATCTGAAATCCTTCTAATGATGTTAAAACTAGAGTAAGCAGTGGCTTCATTTGTAAAGAAGTGGCGGCACAAAGCGGACTTTTAAAGAGTTTGTTTGTCGGTGATGAAGCGTGGCGCTCTCTGTGAGAGAAATGGAACCAGCAGCACATATTTCCCAGCATGCCTCTTTGTCTGAGAGAATGATCTGAAAAATGGAAAAGTAGAGAACGGAGCCGAGACGCCGTCATTATATAGGGGGTCGTAAAAATAGGACCATTACCATCAAGGACACCATTATGAGAGGGCATTTATTCATCATCATCATCATCATCATCATCATCATCATCATCATCATCATCATCATCTATTGCTGCCTCTGCTCCCAGTCCCCTACTGCCATTATCGTTTCCCGCTCATCATCATCATCATCATCATCATCATCATCATCATCATCATCATCATTATCATCATCATCATCATCATCAGCTGCCTCACCATTGCAGTCATCATCATCATCATTAGGCTAGGGTAATCATCCACCAGGGGTTTCCATTGGGATAAAAGAGCAGTCTCCCCCTCTCCCCTTCCTCACATCCTGCCTCGGCATCTGTGAGGGAGGAAGGTTTTCTCTCTGTGTATTCACTTTCAAAAGCACACTGGAGCCAAAGAGTGCTGTGTCTTAGAGCTTTTCTTCCTACTCTCTGGAAAAAGGTTTTTATACTGCCTGAAAACGCAGTCGACCGCGCAGGAAGCATTGTGAGTACCGAGTGTTTCTCTGAAATACACTTTCTCCTTTTTGCTTTTGTCTGTACTGAAGTTTTCTCTTAAGAGATGGAAACGGAGCGCCGCTACCCGTAACACTTCGGGGTTTTTTTCTTTGTTGCACAGTGATATTTGTTAGAAGATACTGTTTGAACTGGATGTGTATACTGTATTGGAGGTCTTTTGTATGTCATGGTAGATATATTTTCAGCTTTTAAGATGCATTTTGCTACTTTGCAGTGCTGTTGTCATTAATCCATGCCACTTGCACCTGAGCCAAACACATGTCTCCAGGCTGTGAACTATAGAAAGAATGCATTTTTTCAGTTATATTTTACTCTATAAATTCCTCTGGTTATTTCAAAATGTCTCAGTAGTTTATTCACTATGTAATATATGTCTGCGCAACCTCTGTAATAAACATGTTATGTTACAGCATATGAATAGAGATGTGTGTGATTGTCTCTGATGCTGTTTTTGTGTGTGCTTCTGTACTTTTTGTCTGCTGTCTGTCTGGAAAAATACATCGTATTACTTGGTAGAATATAGAGGGAAAAAAAGGCATTAGATAAAGAGACAAAGAAATGAGAGTTGGACACATTTTTATGAAATTCTGTAGAATAAACAGCAGTACAGAAATGTGCTTTGTGTTTGTCTAAGTCTTTTAAAACATTACAGTGGGTGATGAAGGTCTTTCTTCTTTGTGTGCAGTGTTAAGAAACCTCTCTTTCTCTATGTTTTCCTTGTTTTGTGTGCAGTGTTAAGAAACCTCTCTTTCTCTATGTTTTCCTTGTTTTGTGTGCAGTGTTAAGAAACCTCTCTTTCTCTATGTTTTCCTTGTTTTGTGTGCAGTGTTAAGAAACCTCTCTTTCTCTTTGTTTTCCTTGTTCAGAAGTAGCTGCTGAGATCGGTTTCTCTGTGTATCCTCTGGCTGAAGAGCAGAGCCCTGCCTACAGCCAGCTCAGCATGGACAGTGAGACGGACAACTCCCACAGCACCACTGACAACAGCAGGGAAGATGAGGGCAGAGCCTCCCAGTCGGAGCCCAGCTTCCCCCCCTATCTGTCCTGCAGGGGCTGCGGACAGCTCCGAGACGAACCTCTGGGACCGGGCATAGACCTGGTCGGCCCGTACTGCCTGAGGTGCTGCAAAGCCTCAAGGGAAGCCAAAAGCCCAGACTTCTGTTCCCCTTTCGGAAGCATCAGCGGGATTCGTCCTGGTGCGCATTTGCATTTTGAAGAAGAAGAAGACGACGAGATGGAAAGCGAGATGAGTGACAAAGAGCTGTCAGCTGAGGACAAATTGGCCAAACTGCACTCGTGCCACATCTGTGGCTTCTCCTCGCGTTACGCCAACCATGTGAAGCGTCACATGAAGACACACAACGGGGAGAAGCCCTATAACTGCCCCCTGTGCACGTACGCCTCGGCCCAGCTGGTCAACCTGCAGAGACACCTGCGCATTCACACTGGGGAGAAACCTTATAAATGTGACATGTGCACGTTTGCCTGCAGTTCCCTTGGCAACCTGAAGAGGCATCAGCGCATGCATGTGTGCTCTGCAGGGGCGGGACAGGACGCCCCTCCTCGACCTGCCATTGGCCAAAACAGCCTGAAGAGGCATGTGACTGGGCAAAGACCCAATGAAGAAGTGTCTGGACCTCCAGCCAAGGGTATGTATCATTTCCTTCCTTTATTCATTAACCAGACCTGTTTTGTTTTTCTCTTTACAAATATCGTGTCTCATGTTGCAAGATTTTAAAACTTGATGCACCCTTTTAGTAACTTCAAGCTGCCTTCACGTTATGCGATTTGCAAATCTATGCTCACTGCAAGGTTGGGCGTATCATCCTTAAAAAAACGACTGCAACATTAGTGCAGAGCTGATTTAACGCTGGTCATGTGAAGGCAGCTTTAAGCAGTAATTGAATAACTGCTTTAATAACTAACTTTCATCTTTTTGTGAAGTTTCAGAAACTGCAAGGTCGACTTCAAACCTGAGTTTGGGAGCCCAGAACAATGACTACATGTCAGCCTTTGATGGCTTAAAGGGGGCGTCGCCACCACCCATACCTGCCTCTAACCCAGCTCCTAGCCACCAGCCTCCCCCCCACCAGCTGCCTCCCCCCCAGCTGCCTCCTCCCCAGCTGGGCAACAGCAGCACCAGGGCAACCAGAGGGGGCATAGCAGACGGCGCCCCCCTCCCCTCTTCACTCTTCCCTTATACTTGCCGCTTGTGTGGCATTGTCCTTGAGGACGAGGACGGCACCACTGCACAGATCTGTCCCAAGTGCACCCTTGAAATGCTGACTAAAGACTCTTCGTCGTCTCCCAACAGCCCCGGGGAGCGCAGCGACAAGGTGTACACCTGCTCCGCCTGCCCCTTCCTCACACACTACCCAAACCACTTGGCCCGCCACATGAAAACTCACAGCGGCGAGAAGCCATACAAGTGCCCACAGTGCGACTATGCCTCAGCGCACTTCGACAACCTCAAGCGCCACCACAGAGTGCACACAGGCGAGAAACCTTACAAGTGCCATTTGTGCGATTACGCCTGCGGGAACCTGGCCAACCTGAAGCGCCATCAGCGCGTTCACTCGGGTTTGAAGCCCTTCCAGTGCGACGTGTGCAGTTACAGCTGCAACCAGAGCATGAACCTGAAGCGGCACATGCTACGACACACAGGAGAGAAGCCGTACAAGTGTCAGGAGTGCGGCTACACCACTGGCCACTGGGACAATTACAAGAGACATCAGAAAAAACACGGCCTGGCCACAGACGGCTGGGTCAAAGTCCCAATGACTGGCAACAATGAAGAAGAGGATGCAAGGAAAGGGATGGGAGGTGGCGCTCCGGCTCACAGAAAAGAAAGCGGAGTTGATATGCAGTACATGTCTAGGGAGGAAGGCCAGACTATACACTCGTGCTACAAACTTGAGATTGTATAAAACTCAGCAAAGTTAAGCTACCAGCAATTATCTTTTTGGTTTTCACAGAGCCTTTATATGAGCCTTTCTATTGTTTTAGTGTGTGTCTTAGTGTTTTGTCGGATGTCTTCAGAGGCTGCTAATTGTTTATTTGTAGAACCCCGCACAATTATCAAACACAATTCTTACTGTTTAAACTCTTTTTTGTTTGGATTAAGTAGTCGAGTGTTTGTCTTCTATTCTGCGTTTGTGTCTAACAATAGTACTTTGTCTCCTGTGGAAGTCTTTTAAATGTCTTCATCTGTATTTTACACTACAATAGGCTAATTCTAACATTTCCCCTCTCATATATTTACACATGTTCTTCATTTGAAGACAGAAAACACTACCAAATACATGTGCACATTTTTGCCTGAACTGCTGAACTGCACTGTGTAGTGATAGGATTTCTTTAAATAAGGGACAATTGCTATTTTTTCAAGTTGTTAGGAAAACCTTTTTTTGCTTTGTACCAAAAATGACATTAAATAACTTGAATGTTGCCAATAGATTATTTCATTATCTTTGGATTGCTTCATGAGTTTTTTCTGACTACACAGTGCAGCTTTCAGTAAAGATGGGTCCTTGTAAGGGTCAATATTTAGCTTTGTTTGCATTGGCACATGCTCTATTAATGGCATGTCTTCAGATGAATTTACTAACTTGTGTAGTACTAGCAAAGTGCTATTAAAAAATACTGGACTTGTTTTACACTTGGTTTAAGTATATTGATGAATTAGGTTGTGTTACTAAGTAATCTCCTGTGTTTTGAACGGCAGTGTCATCTTTCCTGAACCCCTCAGGTCTATAACATGTGATTTGGAAGACTCAAATGTTTAAAATATATATTTCTGGTTATAAACACTAAAATGGCATGCACAGGCATCTTGAGAGGGTCTGTTCAGTTGGTTGTATGGTTAAAGAAAAAGCACAATCATACACATACTGACATTCAAAAACAGTTTAAGACTTAAGTGACGGAGGAGAAAATTCATTGGATGATAATTCTTATATCATTTAGGAGTAACACGACGTAAACAAGCATGCCGTTCAAAGGAATTATTTCCCCACCAATTAGTACCTGCTATATCATTTATTTGAATTTCCTGTTTACTGTGAAATTAGCCCATTCTCACGCTTTTACTTGAAAAATATGACTATTAGTGAGCATGTGTGTGTAATAGTTGTTTTACTTTTCTAAAGTGGCTGTAATACACTGATAGAAGAGTATACCTTAATGTATGTAGGATTTGTTTTTAATGTGTGTCATTTAGTTCCCATTGGAAACAGGGACTGTGATTTACGTTTACGCTCTTTTTTTAAATTCCTATTATATGCAAGTGAGATTTTTTCAGGTTGCCAACTTGCCATGACACAATGGAGCATCGATTAGTACTGACATCCCCCAAGTGTCTGTTTTTGTCTTCATGCAGTGTCTCATAAATGCCTTAAGTGAGGACTTTGAAATAAACATGGAATTCATTTCATTGAATGTCACACAACAGATTAGATGTCTTTTTTTCCCCTCAAATCTCTGAGTGTCATTGTCTAATAAACAGTAGATTTCCATTTTAGACAAAAGCCCTATAAGGTCTGTCTGTAAACCACTTGGTCCTGATGGGAGTTTCATATTTCTGGTTCAAAGTAAAATATGTTGGATGAATTTCTCTTTAACCTAGGACAGACAAAAATGTCCCTCCTTGGAATTAGTAATGAGTATCAGGTCAAAATTTGAATTATCATTGCATTTGCTTTAGATTAAAGCTCTAAACTCCAAAAGAAATAAGTGTCGCTTCCAGAGGGGATACAATACTGCTTTGATTGGACTCACTGGGTCACATGACAATCAAACAAATACAAATGTTTCATGAATATAGTTGTATCAAATAGAAGGTGGACTAAGATCCAATAAAACAAAGTGTGTTCCTCGTCCAGAGTAGTTTTATGATGATTTGATTTGGAGTTTCTGGGTCACATGACATATGGGTTATTTAAAAATGTGACTTTAACAAAATAAATGCAGATATTTGTATTATAGGCTACTATTCATACAAAATAGAAGGTGGACTATAGAACAAAAATAAAAAAGGTGTGTCTTACTTGTCCACAGTAGTAATGCAATGCTTGGATCAACAGATAATATGATTTAGAAGCTATTGAAAAATTCAATTAAAAAATAACTTTTCATAGATTTTCATATAAAATATAAATTGGACTACAATCCTTTAAAAAATAGGTGTTTCCTTTTCGTGCAGTGTAGTAACATAATGCTACTATCATTTAGAGACCCTGGGTCACCTGACATTCAAAATAGTACAAACTAAATCCTGAATGTTAATGGTATAAAACAGAAAGTGAACAAATATCTAAATATGAAAACGAATACGTTGGCTAATCGTCCCCTGACTCCTGACATTGAACTAACTTCACTGCGTTCCAGTTACCAGCTAACAAACAACAATGACAATTCTTCAAGTCCTCGATGTTGGTGCACGACAGATTCATCGTGGAAGTCATACATGTACTGCTGCATCTTTGTAAATTAGAAAGGAGAATAGAGACAATTTGCCGATGTTTACCAGTATGTTTCTGAGTAGCTCAGCAGGAAGCTCTTTGAAGAGTAGTAGGCTACATTCTCAAAGTTACAATTAGTTGATGTAGTTTCAGGTTTCCTCCAGGTGGAGGCAGTGTAGCTGATCAGCTGCTTCTTGAGGGTTTTTCATGAGAATAAGAAGATAGAAAAGGCAGTGATGAAGCTGCTGTGTGGTGGAAAAATATAATGTTTGAGTGTCGTGTCGTAGTAGTATTTTATTTTTGAGTTAAAAAGACTGGGTCCCGCTGTATTACACAGGCTGCTCTACAGCGTCTATTCACAGGCGCGATCCCACTACTGAGCGGCACGGGGGCTTTGGCCTGCTCCGTCTCCGGCCTTGGCCGATGCACCCCTCCTTAGACGACCTGGTGGTCCCGAGCTCCCCCAGGAGCACCATATCGATACCGAACTTAGTGCGGACACCCGATCGGCATAGTCCGCTGCAGCTCAGATCTCCTGAGCTCAAACGCTTCGCCAGCCTCAGCCTCCCAGTAACTTGGATTACAGGCGCGCGCCACCGCACCCGGCAAGAAATAGACTCGCTCATAGGGCTTTTGAATTTGACAAACGTGACGTAATCAAGCCGCAGATAGAGTGGCATCTAGTGGCGGGAAATACAGCTGCAGCTAAAGAGATAAAGGATCAGTTTTATTGTATTATAAACGTCACCCAAAAAGTAAAGAAATGTGTGTTTGGTAGATTCTTTATTTTTTGTAATTGGCAATAAATATACTGTTGTAAACGTAAAGCCTGTTTTCTTACCTTTCACATGGAGCCACATTTGTGAGGAACAAGCATGTGTGGGATGAGCAGCAGAGCTGAGTGGGGTGCGCCCATGAAAGATGACAGATCTCCTCTGCCAATGCCAAACAGCTTTTTCTTTGCTGTTGACTCGTGTTTGGTGGATTGGATGATTGAAGTCAGGGCCAAGTTGATTCCACAAGTGTACAATGGGGTTGTGGTCACGTCAGGACTGAAGGCAGGCCATTCCATCTTCTCCACTCCCAAACTCTGGAGGAAGTCTCTGCTAATCCTCGCTCTGTTGGGGGGCGAGCGATGTCATTTTGGAGGAAAGATATGTGGGTCCCATTCTATTGAGATTTTAACATAATGTTCCTCCACATGTTGAAGTTCCAGTCTATGTGGGCCTCATGGCAGCCCTACGAGACCGGAGATGGGATGCTGTTTGGCATTGATATAGGAGATTTGTCAAATGGGCGCAACCCACATTCATCGCACAAATACATGTTCCTCACAAATATGGCACCATTTGAAAGGTAAATAAACTGGCTTTCCAACGGTATAAGATGTATTGCCAAGAAGCATTGTTACAAAAATAAATAATCTACCAAGCACAAATGTCCTTACTTTTTGTGTACATTTTATAAAATCATCCTGCAAAGATTTCGTTAAAGTTAAAAAGATTAGTGACATCAAAGCTTATTTTTGGTGTGAAAGATATTCAATAATATAGGCCTATGCAGTGATACAAAAATCATTATATGAATGGTCTCCGATAACACAAGTTATTTTGAGAAAAAATGCTTTTGCATGTTTTTGGATAAGATAATCCATTACTTCACTATTTGACAGTGCAGATACCCTTCACACCTCAATGATCCCCTCCGCATTACACTACATTAACAAGTTAGACAAAAGCATTCCCTTTGCATGGTTTAGGTCTCTAGACTGCTGGCCAGCGCCGCACAAGTGTCTGTATCTCTCTATTATAACCAACAGGAGACCACTATTTGAATCATTATTACTGATAATATCTCGTAATATGCAATTATACTCTACTGTGTGTAACTTGCTGATTTGCTGAACTATTAACACTAAATCACCCTGTTCAGTCTCCCTAGAGCAAACCTATAAAATAACCACTATATTCCGGTTTTCATTTAAACACAACCGTGTTATCACATCCTTTCTAATGAAATAAGTTGGAAAGACTATATTTTTCTAATTGAACTCTGTCCAAAACATAAACTGCCACTAGCAGACGTCTACTTGCCCCCAAGTCATGAGCGCAAATAATATTGATTAGAAATTGTTTTCAATTCCACCTCGAAACCTCCATTCTGACGTGATCAAAAGTAACTTGGCATGTTTTTTGATGAAATAATAATACACAAAAATAATTATTAAAATGTTTCATCTGTCTGATGACAGATGAAACATTTTAATAATTTTTTGTTATATTTATATTATATTATATATATATATATTATCATATATATATTATAATATATATTATATATATATTGTTATTTAATGTTTAAAAAAATTATTTTTGTTATTATTCCCTGTTTGTTTTCTTTTTAAAACAACTAAAAGTGTTTTGTTCGATTCATTGCATTAACATCTGCTGCTTCAGGTGACTTGTCTTATCCTTTAAGTGTCCACCCCCGTCACCGGCTGTCTTCCTTGAAATGGCCGCATCTTTATTTATTACATTTCAAAATAAATATCATCAGTCTGTGGTGAATATCTGCGTGAACTATACAATCAAGAACATGAGATAAATGATGAGATGACAAAGTTAAAGTTCACTGTGAAGTTTTTTAATATTCTGAGAGCACGAACAAAAACCATTTCGTTTTACAAAACAACTTAAAAATCAAACCAAACAATACATTAAAATGAAAGAATTAAGAAATCTATAGAAACAGATAGAGATCATCTCTCGTAACTTCACATTGATCGTCCCCAGACTTCTGTCAGGCTTTCTGGACTTTATTAGCTGTGAGAGAGGAAGAAAAACAGTATTAAGTAGATGCAAACATTATAATGACTGACGACAATCAAAAAATTGCTTTTTTTAAATATTCTTTTTAATTTGGGACAAAACTAATTCGCTCACCTGGTCTGCGTCTTTGTCCACTTCAGGGCGTGTCTGGGAGGCAGAGACGTGGTTGGGTGGTAGAAAGTACATCCAGAGCGTTTACACTGCGCCCCGAAGCGACAAGGCTGTAGGTAAATATGAGGAGCAAAACAAAATGTAAGACACCCTAAGTTTTGTGCACAATGTCGAGACTAGAGTACATTTTAAACTTTCAAATAGAAGCACTTTCCCCTTAACTAAATCCAACATTCATTTAAATTACCATTGAAGAGTGTTACAACAGCACTTTGTAATGTTTACCTTGGGATGATAAAACGGACATTCCATCTTCTTGCAGTCTGGGAAGAAGCGGCACACGCTGGCGGTTTGCACTGGCTGCACTGCTGTGAACACAAAGGGTCGAGTTAGAGGTGCTGAGAGGAAGACCTTCACACCCCCATTATGTTTGTGATTTACTCCAGGAGTCTCCAACCCTTTAATACGTTATATAAACTGTGTTGTAGGCCGAAAGAGGTACCTGGCCTGGGTGGGGGGGCAGCTGGGCTTCTTCTGCTGACATGAGTGAAGGGACAGTCCGGCTTGGCACACCTGCCGTCGTATTTACAATTAGGATGCACGAAAAGGCATTTGTCCCCAAACTTGCAAGAGGGAAAAGTCCTTCAGAAAAAAAAAACGAAATCACGAATAAGTGTTGAGTGATGGCTGAAAAACACATTTCTTCAGTTTATTAACTAACAACAATACTCACTTGCACTGTGTGGTTGGATGGTGGTACGCACACTCATCTCCAATTTTACAGACCGGCCAAAACCTGCAGCGCTCCGCCCCCTTCTTTTTCTTTAAAGGGCCAGCATCGTCTTCCTCCATCTCAACATCCATCACATCGTCCATCACATCGTCTGTCCAAAGAAGACATTACGTTAACCCTTTACTGATGCACTTCGGAACAGTTTAAAATGCGCCTTCAATGTAAGGAAACAAATTATCTTGACGGAAGAACACACCTTCTGTTGACCGGACATATCCCTGGAGTCTTTGAAGGATGCTGACTTTGGGCTGCCTGTTGGCTTGGACGGTTGCCTCGGTGACCTTTGTGGGCGGTCTCACATCATCCAGCTCCATCTCAGAGTCCGCAATATTTCCCAGCGGGCTCGGCACCCCGTCTAATGTCACTATGAACTTAGGGCTGGCAGAGTCGCCCCCCTCTTTACTGGTGTGAGAAGAGAAAAGAGAGGGAACATGTGACAAATGTATACATTTAAAGAGCTGAGGAAAAACTCTTATATGTGTGTGTGTACCTGGCTTGAACCATGCGTGGTAAAGCACCCTGCAGCCCTTTGACCAAAGGACGCTGCTGACTTTTGGCTGTAGCTTCTCCCAGCTGCGGTCGACTCACTATGAAGGAGCGGGTATCAAAGGGCTTTGTCTCACTGCCGGCCACAGCGACTTCCACACCTAGAGGCACATACAAATGTCAGTTAATAAAGATTTTTGTGAGAGCAACTTTTTATTGTAACACTTTTCTTAAGTTGCCCCATAAAGAAGAAAGGTCTCAAAAAGACTCACCATACTCACTCTGCTCTCCTCCGTCATTGCTCTCTACTAGGTCCAACTGGAGGCGTGAGGCTAAAGATCTGACTGGAGCTGTGAGGAATAAATCAGTGAGTCATGCGTGGTGTAATGTCATTTTAACTCACTGCCTTCCTGTAACTCTGGCTTTTGGATGGCAGGGTATTTCAAGCATTGCTCTGATAAAGGCACATCATATGTTTCCACTCCTACATATCCTACCAGGCTCTCTGGAAGGAGGCAGCGCTGCAGGGTTGTAGGACTGGACTTTGGGGGCCAGGCTCTGGAGGTGCTCCTGGACCAGCTGGATGGCTGCAGTCATCTCATCAGTGCTGGCATTGCGAGTCCGAGGCGCTACGGGAACAGTCTGCCTCTGTGGTACTGGGAGGGGAGAGCGAGGGGTTAATGTAAGAAAGGGATCAAGGTGACTGAGCTAAATAAAAGAGTGTGCAAGGCACTGCATACTTGTTGGGTAAGCTGTAGTTTTGTTGATTGAGTCCTGAGCCTCAGAGATGGCCTTCAGTATCAGATTCCTGTTGGCTTGCTTGGCTGGAGGGAGAGTAGGTCTGAAACAAAAACACCACAGTAATGCTTAGGGTAGAGTTATGATTCCCTGAGGTTGTAGAAACAGCACAGGAGCTCAATCATGTACTGCTGTAGACTAGGCTTTCATCCAAAAATATTCAATACACCTAAAAAAAAAACTGTGTACCATCTGCTCCAAACGGTTTCATTTGCTGTATGTAAGACACTGACCGATATAGAATTTTCCATTGCTATTGCCTCTCCTCTCACTCCTGTCTCATGCAGGCAAACGGCCTTGGAGCTTTAACATTCTTTCTCCACAGCCGTGTATTGTTATGACCCTGAGAGTTGATTTGACTTGCCCAAAACATTCATAAACAGTCTCTTCTTCACATAATAACAGGACAAAGTTGACACTGTGTCAGAGAGCAGTAAAGACATCCGGGGGTCCATCTCATAAGGCGGATATAGCTCCCAGAGCTTGCTTTGAATAGTTATCAAACGTGGATTTACTCTTAGTAATAGTTCAATATTGAGAAGCTATGTCTATGTGAATTCTTTAACCATCACTTCTACTAAATCTTCAGTGTGTGACATCAGTTCGAAGCTGCCCTGTGTGCTCATTTAATAGATGTCAGTGCTGGAGGGTCCTTTGTTGGTCCCTTTCAGACACCAGGGTTCCTGCAGGTTTCGCCAACTCAAATTTAAGACTTTTTAAGACCTTTTTAAGACCACTTTGAATAGAATTTAAGACCTATTTCACGGCAAGAAAGTATGAAGGAAAATTGCTATGAAAGAAGAAATACGTCCCATAATTACTTACAAAGTAAATTAATTCATGTTCAACATAAGAACAATGACTGAACATAACAGCATAACAGCACAGAACTGTGCCAAAAAGTGTGTGTGTGTCTGTGTGCGTGTTAGGGCTGTGCAATTAATCATATTTTAAAATCGCAATTATGATTTTGGCCTGCCACAATTACAAAAACATAATCGAAAAAAACTATTATTTAGCTTTGCTAGGTTGTGACAGTGCACTACAACACATTTAATCTAATTCATTTTAGTCTCATTTATTTTTATTTATCATATTTATAAGTGAGCGTGTGGGAAGTGCGCTCCAAAACATTTGTTGGATCTGTTGCTTGTGGTATATGTATATTTTATATGATATTATTTATTTAAATATGTAAAGTTATTTAATTAGTATTGGTTTTCAGTTGAGATTATACATTCAGGGTAATCAACAGTTAAAAGATACTGTTGAAAATGTATGTTAATAGAGCGTGACATGCAATACGTGACCAAATGAAATCGTGATTGATGATTTTGTGCCATAATCGAGCCAGCCCGTTGCGTGTGTGGTTGTGTGTGTGTGTGCGAAACCGATACTGAAAATAGGAACAGTGTGTGTGTGTGGTGTGGTGGGTGTGTTGTGTGTGTGTGTGCGTGTGTGGTGGGTGGTTGTGGTGTGTTGTGTGTGTGGGTGTGGGGGTGTGTGTGTGTGTGTGGTGGTGTTGTTGGTGTTGTGTGTGTGTGGGTGTGTGTGGTGTGGTGTGTGTGAGAGAGAGTAACAATAGCATATCAAGCGCTGCGCCCTGGCTACAATCTTCATTGTGCCGTTGTATGCATTGGTGTTTAACTACCTGATTAGCATCACACCTCCCGCTTTTTAGGGTTGACGTAGACCCAAACGTCGCCGGAGGTCCCCGGTGTTGTGCGGAGCGCGCACTAGCTAACGCGCCTAGCAACGCTGCAGTCGCTAACGTACATTACAAAACACACCTAATTCTTTTGCAAAGGTGCGGCGGCTCAACACGTCCCCCTCCCACTGGTTTATCAACCAAGCCTAAATTAGATGTTTCCAAACAATACGGTTGGA